TTCGTGTCCAACTGTCTCGGTCTGTGTCCATAAAACGTCTTGACTTCCAGACTTTCTATCCTTTCTCTTCTTTCCTCTCATTCACCGCTGGCAACCAATTCAAGATCAGACTCACACATCACCAAACAAGCACTTCTCAGTCCAATCTTCCCATCCACAACACCAACATCATGAAGTACTCCGCTGTCACTCTTCTTGCTGCCCTGGCTGCCTACTCTCAGGTATGATACTCTATTTCCCTAAGGTTCGCAGGCTTGCCTTGCTAACATGATACAGGCCCAGTCAATCTCCATCCCTGGCGGTGATGAGGTCTCCTCTATCATTGGCGATGTTTCCTCCCGAATTGGTGATGCCTCCTCTATCATTGAGGATGTCTCTACCCGCGTTGGTGATGAGGTCTCATCTCGCGTCGGCGATATCTCTTCTCGCATCAGCACCGCCACCGAGACTGGTGCTTCCACAACCGTGACTGATGCTTCCACCGCCACCGATTCCGCAGAGACCGACAGCGAGACCGGATCCAGCACTGTCGACACCAGTGCCCTCGGCAGCGTGACCAGCGCTCTTGCCAGTGCCTCCAGCGCCATCGAGGATGAGATTGCTTCTCTCAGCTCTGATCTCGCCACTGCCACTGGTACTGCCAGCGAGGCTATCGAGTCCGAGATCGCTGCGCGCACCTCTAAGATCGGTGCTATCGAGAGCAGTGCTGGTGCTGCCGCCAGCAGTGCTACTGGTGACAACGCTGGTGCCATGCCCACTGCTGCCGTCGCTATGGGTGCTCTCATGGGTGGTGCTGCTCTCTTTGCCAACATGTAAAGTGGCATTTACGGAAGATTACATTAATAATGAAATAAACGGTCAAATCTTCACGCGCCATCATTTTAACCAACATGGAACTCTTGCATATCCAACTCGGATGAAGCAAGGATATGACAGGGTTCGGGATCTTAATTAACTAGCGTTGCACATCTGCCGTTAGTGTGATTGAAAAGGGAATTTGGAACTGAAGAATGCCTATGTCTGGTGCAGCCTTTGGAACGATGACTTTGTCGATAGAATTGCTCACATAAAATGTTCTTGACTACCCATGGAAATAAAGATTTTCGTATCATATGTTGGCCCAAATGATGGATTTCTGTGTTTATGCCTTTATGTGCTCTCAATTGCGTGAATAATGCAATGCATACTCTTTATTGCCTGCTCTCCTCTGTAGTATGTTTTAGTCTCGGGTTTTCCCTTTAGCTTAATCAACTCTCTCAATGACACCCTCCATGAGTGGTGTGAGATGTGTATAAAGGTTTCGCCCCAGGATTTATGCTGTCGCGGCTAACTTCTCCTTGTATCATGTAAGCTAAAACTGAACCTCTGGTAAATGATATTGGACATCCCACTTCGTCCTAGGTTGTTCTGGAAGTAATGACTTGCAGTGCAACTATCCACGTGAACGGCACAACTACAAACCCAGAGGGAGGAATCTAGCAAGTAACTTTTCTTGTCGAGAGTGAGCTTCTGGACTCGAGTAGTGGGAATAAAAGGGGATGGCTATGTGCTGTGAGGTCCGCATTCCAGTCAATCAGTATGATTATATGGTCACTTCCCTGATTTGAACCCCATCCTGAGCTTCACCGGTTACGAATGTAGCAGCCCAACTCAATACAGGCCGCCAGGACAGACACCTGTGAAACAACCAATAGCCTCCTGTTTTCGGCGAAAGAAAGGTAAAAATAAATCTCTACATGGGCGTCTTCGTACTTACTATACCCTGTTTGGGAATCAGCATGTCAGGCATGCCAGTGCCTCAGCGCGCTCGAGAATAACCATAGGCCCTGTTGTATTTGAATGCAGGTATAGGAACTTGGCTTGCAAGGTCTATTTGAGCTCTCAGAATATTTACAGTATTTAATTTTCTTTTCTTTTAACCGTTTACTCGGTATGGGGTTCAGATCAGAGGGGGGACATGCTGAGAACGCAACCTTGTCAATGTCAGTCCTTTCTATTTCTTGACTCTACAGCTAATAAAAAGGAACTGGGGGAAGGAACAACATTTCAAGCTTATCTCAGTGCTTTTCATCTCTCATGTTATTCCGATATGAATATTGGCCAGTGTAGTGGCTTGAACAAGACTTGGATACGATTGCTATGAACGGTGGCTGTCCCGTGAGAGGGCTTTGAAATCCCTCGAGCCGAAGTTACCTCGAAGCGTATGAATGGGTGAAAATCCCAGTGCCGTGCTGAAATAAACCTCTGAACCCCATCTGTATCTAATACATTATTCTCTTTAGTACTTCCCTAACTTGTCTGTACCAGGTGCTTGGTATGATGGTCATATCAATGACAGTGACTGGGTAGCGGAATCACGAAATGAGACCAGAAGCTGACTGTCTGTGTTCTCAAGGATGCATAGCTACTCTATCCCATTATATTAGTAGATGAGTGCACTGAGCACAGTCCGCATTTGATTGTTTATCTCACACAAGCTTACCAGACCATGCAACTCTGATCCAGGAGGAGCGTCACAGTCAAATCTACTGGCCGTGGCATAACCATGTGTTGTACGCTATACTGGGATTAACGTCATGTTTTGGGCCGACTCTCTGTCCATAACTTATCGATGATCTGGAAGACAGCCGTCACGCCCTTCATGGTCTGTTCATCCACCTGTCCACCCAGCTTTTGCTGGATCTTATCTGGATGCCATCGTACACGCTCATCCCTGAGCTTAGCCACAAACGATTTTTCTCCTATCTCTTGTGGATTCAGCCCATTGACAAGGAACTTGCGCACAGTTGGCTCATCCACGTCTTCTATACGACCACCTTCAACCGGCCATGCAATTTCTGTAGGTGTGCCATCCCAGTTTGCCCAAGCTTTCGTGTAATCTTCCCATCGTTGTTCCCAACGTCGACGCTCTCTCCGTTCCTCTCCACGGCGGATACTATATTCCATGTCCTCTTGGAGTTTCTGCGCGCGACGATCCTCGTTGGCTTTGCGCTTCTTCGCCTCTTCACGGCGAGCACGCTCCTCAAGCAGGCCAGCATTTGTCTTTTCCCACATTTTCTGGCGTACATAGGAAGCGTACTCTTCATCTGTCATTTGTTCCAGGTGACCTGTAGGCCCTACACACTCGTTGGGGTAGACGTGGACGGGTTGGCCATATACACTTTCCCAGTATGCAGCACCCTCGTCATCGGCCATGGCGTCGAATAAAGATTCACGAAATGCTGCGTCGGGATCTAGAGGCTCTGGCTCATGAGGGTTATTTGGTGTGGGAGAGCGATGTGGCCGACGGTGTCGGTGTAGGTGTCGGCGGTGACGGACAGGCGAACGCCCGTGCCTGTCATCATGATCATAATCTCGATGCCTATGTCTGTCTCGCGATCTTCGACGAGATCTGCGGTGGTCCTTCAGCCGGATGCGTGAGCGCCTCGGCGCTGTGGTATCCCCTCCGTCATCTTTATCGTTGCGCTGGGCGTCGGCGTGCTCTGATGGCGCATCGAGCGACGGTTCTCTCTTGACGTCAACTGGTGATCGCGATTCGGGAGACCGACTCCTCCTTCGGCTTTTGGGCTTTTCAGGGTTGATAGAGGAGAGGATGTGGCGTCTGCGAGGCGACTTCTCGGTTTCGCCCATCATGTGAGGGCCGTATAGTTCGAAGGCATTGGGTTAGTGACGCTCTTGGCTTTGCGAGTCTGAGAATTTGTAGTTGTAAGTTTAAGTTTCGATGTGGGGATTAGTTGTTGCGGGTGCACAGACCTTACTTTATATTCATGGTATTACTTTACCTAGGTACCTATCCGTCGACCTAAACGATGAACCCGACAAATTGGTAGGTACTTACCTAGGTATGCACCGAGAAGCAAATTTAGGCTCTATTAACATTTAGCAAGAAGGATGAGCCCCTGGGGTGCATGTTGCTCCAGTAATTGCAGATATGGCTGTGTGTCAGAGAGTTAATTGCAACAGCTTTCGTGGACTGTCAGACTGAGTTATACGATCAGAGCTGAGGTATACACAAGGTTATTTATTTCAGCCGAATAGACAAGTCCATCAAGAAGCATCATCTTTGCCCAACTGATTGTCATATATGTTTAAAAACACTCGAAAGATATTATGACTTGAGATTATACTTTAATACAATGCCAAGTCATACAGTACAGGGTAGGCAGATTTAGCGTACCAATTAAGAAAGGTTGGCATCCGTATCCAGTTACTCGCTATCACTCAGTACTGGGTTTATAGTATCTACTCCAGTTTTGGTATGGTAAGGACAAGGTAGAAAAAACGATAATCACTGAAGGGTATTCGGTACTCCGTACTAGTAGCAGAAATATACCTTGATAGTCCAGCCACTATGGAACATTGACCATTAGTTACGATAAGGAGGCAACTTGGAGTGAAACATGGGCCACCACCACCACCACCTATTATTCGCATTCACTTCAAGTCGAAAGCTTTACACACCAAGAACCCCCCCTGCTAAGAAAACAACGTTGCCCTCTGAGGAAGTGATACTGATCTCTTATCTCACATCGTCAATCAGTTATAGTTGACGCTATTCCAAAAAGTATCCCTCCCCCTGAATTCATTGTCTCCACGGGCTGGTCCCTAGGGGGAATTTTAAGGGTCTAGATGCCCCGCAGCGTCCAATCGACAGCTAGCAAACCGTCGCAGGGCTGGTATTGATGGACCCAACAGTGTGACCAGGCTGACTGACTCCTACTGATGAGCGAGGCCAGATAAATTTGTTCGACACCCAATACCAACGCCAAACCTCTTTCTTGTCCGCTCCGCCCTTGCGTCTTGTCTTGCCTGAGGTGTCGTCTATACTGCGCTTCAATCCCTCGATAAGCGCATATACAGATCGGTACACTTGACGGGAACCAGTGAGGACCGCAACATGCGTGGGTAGTCTTTACACCGGCACCTCTTTTCCTTCTGTTCTGGCATCATTCCTCTGCGCATAACCACCCAAGAGTCAGTCAATTGACATCGCATCAACCATGGGAGGGGTATTATTACTTCTAGGCCTATGCGTAAGTGAACCTCACCCATTCGTCGATAAATCACTGAGACTGACATTCAATCAAGCTAGTCATGGCGTTGGCGTACGTGCGACCGTGATGCCATTCTCATCGATTGCTAACATATCTACTTACCCAACAGGTCATTCCTTGCCGGAGCGCTGCCCCTTTCAATGTCTCTTTCACAATCACAGCTTCGACTGCTCTCGAGCGTCGGTGTTGGAATATTGGTCGGGACTTCACTTATAGTCATTATCCCCGAAGGAATCGAGGCTGCAACCGCGCCTGGGGAGGCTGCTCATATGCATCGAGTTCGAAGCCTGGTGCGCCGAACCCCCTGGAGCCACGCCGCACTTACACGCGGACTCCCCGAGTCAATTGTCACAATAAGCACCGGCTCAATCGAGAAACGAAACGACGAGTTGGACACCGAAGCGCTTGTCCGTCGCATTATAAATGCAGCAGCGAGGAATGGCCGAGTCAAGCGTGCAGATATCGAGGCCGCCATTGAAGCGACAGGTGACGATGCTCCAGCCATCCCAGGAGCCGGCGATGCCGCAAAAGATAGCACTACCGATAACAAGGGATCTGAAAAGGCGGAGAGTGGGAAGGAAGGCCAACAGAACCATGACGGAGACCATGAAGCGCAACATGATCATGAGCATGAGCATGAGCATGAACAGGAGCATGAGAAAGAGGAAGCGCACGAACATGCTGTTCCCACATTCGAAATCGGCTTCTCGTTGATTCTGGGTTTTTTGTTAATGTTCCTGATTGATCGACTGCCGCGCCATGCGACAGAGAGTCTTCACTCTACACCCCAGACCCGCCATATCAGTCTCGACAACCTCAACGGTGATTCTGCCTCCGTTGACGAAGAGGCGGATGGGTTCCTGGGATCCCTGACACCCACTCCGCGTCGAGCGCGCAGCTTGGCAACGACCACTGGATTGGTTATTCACGCCGCCGCCGACGGAATTGCAATGGGTGCCTCGTCGACTACTTCAGATATGAAGCTTGGCTTCATTATCTTTGCGGCCATTATGATTCACAAGGCTCCTGCTGCCTTTGGCCTAACTTCACTTCTTCTCAAGCAGGGTCTTTCGAAGCGAGCTGCTCGAGGACATCTTATTGTATTCAGTTTGGCTGCACCGTTTGGTGCATTGACAACATGGACATTGATCACTCTGCTAGGTGGTGGTAAGGTTGAGAGTGACCATTGGTGGACCGGCATGCTACTCCTCTTCTCTGGTGGCACGTTTTTGTGAGTTAAGCATGTCTTTCTTGACATTCGTCACTGACACCTCGATAGATATGTTGCTATGCATGCGATGCAAGAGGATACTACCCCCCATACTCATGACCACGGCATCAACGGCTATGCAGATAGTAATGCCACGGCACAGCGGAAACCAAAGGGACCGCAGATGCGTGATACACTGGCCACCATGGGTGGTATGCTGGTACCACTGCTTACACAGTTTGGCCACCACCACTAAGTCGCAAGCACTTCATTTGCCTCGTATTCTCCAGCTGCGCATGTTGAGATTTTGGGACGGTGTGTGATGGAGTATAACAGCCATAGACAGAGTATGGGATGACATGGCGCTTTTCAAGATTTCTTTATGTTTCGGGGCCGGCGAGCTCACTTTCGCTGCGTGGGAAGGGACCAGAATAGACTCCTGAGCGATTTTCACGGTGACAAAAGGCGGGTATGAATTTATAGGGATAGCATGGGCCATGTACGGTTCCTTGGGTTGCAATAGCCGCACAAATAGTATTCTTGAGATATGTTACAGGCGTTCTTGACTACGGCTGCACAGTATCGCTATCACATCTCATGGCCAAATTCTTTATGCAGGACTGTATCTTTGTGTCAGTTGATCACTGCCAGCAACTCTGGATTTATCAGATCGCATCTGGTTTCAGCGTAACCCAGCAGCAGCCAAAAGGAGATATCCAATGCCAATGCTGGGTTTGGTTGTGGATTCATCTGGTTCAACCTAGGTTTCAAAGAGGAGTTTTATAAAACCAACTGACATCTAGGCAGGGATACAAGGACAAAAGCTGCTTCACACATAGTCACAGAAGCAACAAAATGGCCTGATATTTTTGTTCGAATGATACGTAGAGCATTCCAAAGTGAAAATGGACAGGGGATGCTGAGATAGTTTACATATCAGTTGCCGTGGAGGGTGGGTTTAATTATTTAATTCTCCGCGTTTGATAACTTTACGAATTTAATAGACATTGCCTTGGTAGGGCGTACGGCACGAGAGAATTCGCAAAATTTAAGGAGATTGAAGACGGACAACTTGACTAACAAGACGTTGAAACAATTCAACAGTGCTTATCCGTACCTTGGGGAAAAGCCAAGCTTGATGTTCGGTCAAGTCCGCTCACACCTTTCTTCATAGCCTCTTACGAAAATAGCAAGGGGCTCAGTTCATTCAGCTTCAAGGCCAGGGTCGTGCAGTACTTGGTAGTCTCGTTACAGCTTTTCCAAGGCATTAGGTATGCGTCGTTAGTGTTGTACTACCAAAACCTAAATCTTTGGGGCGGATCAAGGAACCTAGGAAAAAAGGTTGGTCGTTGACGCCATTTGGCGCTTCTGGTGGACGTTCCGAGGTCTTCTTTTCTTCCTCATACCTATTTTCTCTGCAGTGACAACTGACAACGTCAGGGTGTGAGATATTACAGCATCGTGGCTTGCGCCAGGAGTTTGGATGTTGGCTTCTGGTAAACATTTGTTCATGTGATATCTATTTCTTGCCAGTCCCTGCAATAAATCCCAGAGCCAAATTTTTTTGTTATGATCTTGGTGCAGATAATATCAAGGTAACATGAGCCCTCGTATTGATCCTCAAACTCCCTGCACGCACCTGATCGTCCAAGAAGCCTTAGAGAGGGGGTTTGTCAACGCACTTGACAAAGCATCCAATCCCATCTTGTCGAGAGCCGCCTGAATTGTCACATCTTATCACATGGCTATACTCGAAGGGGGAAAGGGTAGCGATGTCTTGCAGGAGTTTGCAGTGCGGAGTCCTCCATCTTTGCTCTGAAGATATGTACTGTACATACCATGGTACATACAGCACAATCATAGCTGATCCTCACATGTCATGAACAAGATAGGTACAGCTGCAGACAGTCGAGCTTGTGTGAAGATCGACGTAATATCAGAGGCTGAGGGTCGGTGAAACCGTCATGATCAACCGTGCAAAAAGTCAGCAGCCACGAACTGCACCTGAGAATGGCGCACGGCTTCAACCACCGAACTACACTACCTAACCTTACGCAGGAACCAACAAGAGATAACTAATGTCCAATCCTTTCGTAGCGTACGGATACAATCTGATCTGGTGAACGGTGGAGATGATCAATTCGATCCAAGGTACGGAGTAGGATTGTATTCATTTATTCAGGGTTGACAGAGGCAGACTAGGATCTGTTTCACTGTTTGAAACAGAACAGGTTTGGCATCTCATGTTTCGAAATCAATTTCTCGATGAATTGAGTTGAACCGTTTGCGGGTTTGAGAACAAGATTAAAGAATGTACTTTGTCAATGAAGCGAGATTTATCCCAATTGCGGGAATGTGATTGGAACGTCCCGTCCCTGCATTCATTGAATCAGTAATAAATGAGCTGAAGGAAGAAAAAGCAATGAAAAGAGCGGGCTTGCTCAGAGCCTTGAAGTGCTGGGCTCTTCTCTCCTTATCTTACTTCCGTCTGATATTGGATGGATGCTGCTTGTACTGTAAAGCCTTTTCGACGACACCAGCAAAAGGAAACGAAATTTGATCAAGTTTCCGTTTTCGTTCACAGACCGTCTTGGGCTTCGAAAACCACTTCGTCCTATCGTGGGTAAGGTAGTTCGTTCTCTCAATCGATCACCCCTTATTCAGCCAACTTTTCCTTCCTTTGTCTTGTCTCGCCTCGCCTCGCCTCCACTTCTGCATCCATCTGCTGCATCTAGTCACCAGATTGATTCACTTCCTCGACGCCTCAGAATCGAGTCGGTCATCTCGTCTTGCCTTACAAAGACGGACAAACCCATTATAGTCTACATATCATCCCGTATCCTCGGTAAGACAATCTCACACCCTCATTGTGTGCGTTGAAACCTATTTCTCGACACAAACTTCCATACCCGGCCTTACCAGCTCGACTCAGGAGATATCCTTGTGCCGGTCACGGCGACAGCCGACATAAGCATTGTCAAAAAAGACATCCAAGCGGAAAGGCAAAGGCAAGGGAATCGCTCCAACGAGGCCCTGAACTGTAGTCTGTACTGCAACGAATGCTGTTTAGCGCCTCTACGATCCCGCCATCGACCTTGGCCTGCATCCGACCCACGCGCCAGGTCATCAGCCAGTCCCAGGCTCATTCTGCGAGCCAAGATTGCCATCCCAGTACAAACACAGGCGTTCCCGTCCCTGGACGTGTTAGGTACTTAGGTACTGTACTGGTACCGTACCGCCTGTCCGTAGGCTCTCTCCACTATCTCATCCTCTAGTGACTATCGCCATTCACCGTTGGTTTCTGCTTCCTGCACCCTTTCCCTTTTTTCAATATCTGCACCTAATTCTGTTCGAAGCCAACACGACATTCTCATACCGAGTTTTTGCGCGATTATAGGCGATACTCTCTATTCTACATGTGCTGACATTGTCCTCGAATTGTTGGCAGAGGCCTCGTACGGCTTGCTTTCTGTTTTCCCCACCCACGATCCATCGTCGGCCTCCCCTCGATATCAGCCGTTGTCGCTTCAAGTAGCCCACCTCCATCAAGTTGTTGATCCTCTTCACAAACCGCTTCAAGGTCTATCTTCCAACAAACATCGACATCTTGGAGGGCGATGACCCGGGTCATGGCCGGCTACCAACGACCCATGAGTTTTTCCGAAAGACGAGGAAGCGCCCTCAGTGACGACTTGACCCTCGGCACATCGACGAACCCCATGGTTAACCACCGCTTGGAAAAGCTGCCTCAGCAGCAACGGCACCTGCGTGGACCTCCTACTCCCAGCATGTCTACACCCGCCGCGGACTTTGATCAACAACTCACTGGCTCACCTCCACCGCCTCCCACACCCGCTGCGTCTCCGGGACCTTCGCATTTCCAACCAGATTGGAGTGATGCGGCTGATGATGAGGACTTCTTTCTCGCCAAAGTCCGGCAACACTTCAAAAACTGTTCTGGTCCTCAGAGGACTCGGGTCCTCGCCGATCTGCTGAATCTCTGTACCAGCCAGCAATTGAGTTTCGTTCACCAATTTGTGAGCCCTTTATTGAAAAAGGACCCATTCACAAGTCTGCCAGACGAACTGTGTCTTCGGGTAAGGACCATGCTTATTTTGTTGTTTTCCCTAGGATACGGTGGGCTTACTCACATGTGTAGGTATTATCTTTCATCGATGACCCAAAAGTTTTAGCACGAGCCTCGCAAGTTTCCAAACGATGGCGAGATCTCCTTAGCGACGACATGACATGGAAGAATCTTTGTGTCAAACACGACTACGGCCGCCGACTATCAGAGGTCTACACACACGCACCTAATTTCTCATCGAGACCATCAGTACAGGCTTTGCATGGACTCGATGCCGACATGACCAGCAGCAATAGTTTCCCAGGCACGCGCCCTTATTCCTACACCTCAGGGACCCGGTCGTTCGAGGGCTCGAATACCTCTGGTCGACCCAGGTTACGGACTTACAAGTCTCACTTCAAGCAGAGATATCTAGTTGAAGCTGCTTGGCGATCTGGCGGTACTAGCACAACGCGGAATATTACCCAAGAAGGGGGCGTCGTCACGAGCCTGCATCTGACGCCCAAGTACATCATTGTGGCACTTGATAATGCCAAGATTCATGTGTTCGATACTGAGGGAGACTCGCAACGCACCCTGCAGGGACATGTTATGGGTGTCTGGGCCATGGTTCCTTGGGATGATACTCTGGTCAGTGGAGGCTGCGATCGCGATGTGAGAGTATGGAACCTTAAGACTGGGTAAGTTGAAAGTCACCATCACTCTTGATCATTTGCTGACAGGATATAGTGCCTGTTTACACACCTTGCGAGGTCACACATCGACAGTGAGGTGCTTGAAAATGGCAGATGCAAACACGGCGATTTCTGGATCCCGGGATACAACCCTAAGAATCTGGGATATCCGAACCGGCCTTTGCAAAAATGTTCTTGTTGGTCACCAGTCCAGTGTTCGGTGTCTCGAGATCAAGGGAGACATTGTCGTATCCGGTAGCTATGATACTTTCGCTCGAGTCTGGAGCATTTCCGAGGGCCGTTGTCTTCAAACGTTACAGGGCCATTTTAGTCAAATTTATGCCATTGCGTTTGATGGTAAGCGAGTCGTGACGGGCAGTTTGGATACCAACGTGAGAATTTGGGATCCGACTTCTGGGTATGTGTCTCTTCAAACTACGGATAATAGCTACTAATAGTTCGAAGTGAGTGTCTGGCTATCCTCCAGGGTCACAC